TCCTCCCTCTCGGTGGCAGCAGGTGGCTGAGCAGCTCCCACGGTGCTGGGACCCTCGTCCCAAAGCCCCCCCAGCCTGTGACAGCAGGGAAACCTCACCGCCAGGCTGGGGCTGCACACCAAGCGAGCAACAAGGTCCAAATGCAACTAAAAACCCATTCTCTGCCCGTAACACTGGTGTCCTCCACCCCCCGCCCGTGTCTGGTCCCGAGATGTCTGGGGCACCCCGGGGTACTGGGATATCTGGGTACCCTGCTGTCCGGGGTTTGTGGGAACTCAGGATCCCGGACTCACAATTCCTTTACATCCCTCCTACAACGACGCTGCTTTTCCAGCCTCCCGTCATCTGATCTCTTCCTTGTGGCTTTTTGATGTCTCCCCCAGAAGCTGCACAGACCTCGTGTCCCTCCTGCAGCCGGGCTGAGTCACCGTGTCCTCCCTCATTAACGTCAAGCTCTGCCCCTCCTTTGAGGAATTCGTTTTGGCTGAAATCTTCTGCTTTGCTGCAACAGACAGTTATGGAGCACGAGCCCTGAGTCACTGCCCTGGGGGGGTGATGGACACGGCAACATCAACAGGTGACAAGGATGGAAGTGGCCCCGAGGAGCTGAGCAACGAAATCTGATCTCAGGAGAGGGGGGAGAACTGACTGAGAAGCATCTGCCCGTGCTGCAGGAACTTGCTCAAAAGCTGGGCAATACTGTGTCATTTCATAACGGGTCTGTGGTGGGGAGGTGCCTGAAGCCCATGTAACTGCTGGGGGGATTATAAATAATCTCATGGATTAGGAATTGAGGGATCACATCAACTGATCTGTTACTGAGAAGGCCAAATGCAAAGACATTTCCAGTGAGCATAAAAGGGACCAAAGAAAGGGAGACGTGCTGGGCTGCTCAGGGCACTGAGGAGGAAAATCAGCTAACAATTAATTGCAGGATGAAAATGCAGAGACCCAATTTCCTAACGAGCAGCTGGCTCAGGGATCTCGTGGTGACATCCCTGCCCTCTGCCTGCCTGCAGGTCAGCTCCCAGGCCATGAAATGCCTACAATTCTGTCTCAGGGGCTCCCCCATTTGTGTTGCTGTTCTACATCTGAGCATTTGGCCAGGCCTGGGGAGAGGAATACTTAAAATATTTCTGGGCACTGGGAGAGCTTTTACCTACCCCTTCCACATGGGAGGAATTTAAACCATGATTAATGGAGCCTCTGGTTCAGGGGCTTTGATCCCTCTGCTAAAGCACGAGTGACAGCTACATACACACCACTTTCTGAATACTTTCAGCCCAGATTTTACTTCATTTTACCAGGATTTGCCACCAGGCAGTGGTTCCTCACAAACTCTCCTTCCACCTTTTTTTCCTCCCTTCTTCTGCAGTGGTGGCACCAAGCGGGGTTGGTTTCAGAGCCGGCGACGTCCAAGCTGGGTCACAAACCTGTCCCTTGACACCAGGTGAAGCCAAACATTGGGGACACATCCCCCAGGGCCGGGCTTGTCCCCGCAGGAGCCGCGGCAGAGCAGGGACAGGAGCTCCGGGCGCTGCTGCCACCAGAGGTCCCTGCGCTCTCGCTGCAGAGCTCAGCGCTCCCCCGGGGCTCTGCATCCACCCCTGCTTTGGAGATAACTGCCTTTTTTCACCCAAACGTCCAGAAGTTTTCCAACCTTCCCCAAACGGTTTTCCGCGGGGAGGCAGCTCAGCCTGGTGACCGGTGGCTGCTTGGAGAAAGGCTGGGAACTCCGGGCAGATCTCAGCAAATTCCTGCCCAGATCCATCCCATGAACACCGCGGGGACGGCGGCTCATCCCTCGGTGGGGGCTCTACAGCAGCAGCCGGGATGGACATGGAGGGTACAGCAGGTTTTTCTGGACAACAGCTTTTTTTTCTCCCTCTCACAAGCTGGAGTTTCCCCGCAGCACATCTGGGACAGACCCATCTCCCCTATTGCAGGCCCACCAGTTTAGTGATAATCCCCCACTGGGATTCTGCTAGATGAACTGTGTCCTCCCTCACGTGCTCCACGCTGCTCCTGGGTGGGATTTGGGGCACTTGCAGGTCACCCCATGACGAGATGTGCTTGCTCAGCTCCACCATCCTTAGACAAGGAGGAGCCTGCTCTGCTCCCAAACCCTGCCCAGGGCTTGTTGCAGCTTCTGACACAGCCTCATCCTTCTGGCAAAAGCCATTGCTCCTGTTTTTTGGAAAGCCTCACTCCCTTCATCTGCTTCCCTCCAGCCAGGGAGAGGCATAAATCCCATCTACTCATCTAATGCCAGATCCCAATTTATTTGGGTTCACACCTAAAATAATTGGAGGAAACCAAGATTTCAGAGGCAATCAAGTTGCTTGGCTTCCAAACTTTAATTACCCAGCTGAAGTGTGTCACCACTCTATCTGCTAGGCCATAGGAAGTCAGACCATATAGGAATGTTCTATAGATCCACATTTTCATTCAGAAAGGCTGTAACTCCACACTTCAGGATCTACCACCCCCAGCCATGAGCCCTACAGGAGAAAACATGGAACAACCTGTATAATTATTCTTACCCTATATAAATATTTCCATGTCTTCTTCCCTTGTAGGATAAACAATATTTTTCCCTGTTTAGTTCACTATTCTCAAGCTTGAGTAACTTTTGGTGAATATCTTTGTGCTCTCTGGTTACATCATGATGTGTTTATGACCACATGGGGGTTTTCTGAAATTCAGACAGGTTCAGAGTGAGCCCTGCAGGGTGGAAGCTCATCTCAGCCCCTACAGCTACTCCCTGCAGCATCACACCTTGCTGAGCCCACTTAATTCCTCCTGCATTATGAATATAAGCACAGGAGCTTCCTAACTGCACCTCCTGCTGCTGCCTGCTCTGCAGCTTGGAGCAGGTGAGGTTCCCTCCTGAATTCTCTTGTTATTAATATCATAAACCAAGCTGTTCTGGGAGCTGTGCCCCATAAATCATTTTAGCTCTGCTGCAGTTTTCACCTCACTTCCTGTGCCCGAATGGTATTCAATAACATCTGATCCATGGGTAATGCTGGGTTAAAAGCAGCAGGTCTGCCAGGGCAGGGCAGGATCCTGACCTGAGGGAGCTGGGAGGCAGCTAAGGTGGGACAAGGATGGACCTGTGGCGGCTTGATGGCATGAAAAGATGTGCTACACCTGCTGATGGGGGCTTGAAGGGAAGAGAGAGAAACACCCCCCTGAAATCTTCACCTCTACACTTGGGTTTTCCAGTGCTGACACCACTGGAGGGACAGTAGAAGTGAGGATACCTAATAATAAAATACAAGGTCAGCTCAGCACCAGCGTGGGTGGTGGGTCTGGTCAGAGGTTTCTGATGCCTACCTGGGCTCTGCTCATGCTTGAGGGCACTGCTTCCTTTTGCTGTCTTCCTTCCTATGTTTAACCCCATCATGTGTTAGAAACAAAGCTCTTAACCACTCTGAGTACCTGCCTCTGGGTTACCTGATGAAGGGCCAAATGACACAGAGCAGCTTCCCAAAAATCTGTCTGCAACACCATCCCCTTGCCTGAATCCCTCAGGACACACTGTGTGTCCCAAGGCACTGGCTCTCAGTGAGACAGTAACACAGCCTACCTGCAGCTATCCCAACCCTCCCTTCTTCCATCCACTGCCCTTTTCAACTTGCTATCCTTTACCATCATCTCTGGCCCCACCTGAGACAGGCATTTTGTTTTGCCCTTACCCCTTTTTCATCAAAGCCCTCCCGTGGGTGCTCGGCTGCATCCAGCAGCACCCACTGGCATCCAGCAGCTGAACTAGCTGCTCAGCCCTGCAGTGCCAACACCACTCCACAGGATCAAGCTCCACAGCTTGGTACCTGCCACTTCTCTGGTGTTTCTGCAGCTTCCATCCAGCAGCAAACAACTTCTTCCAGCCCTTCCTGCCGAGTCACAGAAAGCCCCCACCAGAGCTGCTGCTTCTCCACATGGGAACGTGCTCCTGGGGAATAATTACAGAGAGTTTTAACAGGGATGTTCAGTAGCCAAATTGCTTCACCTTCAGGCTCCTGGCCAGAAAGGCAAAGCCCAAAAGCTGCTTGTTGCCTCTTGAGAAAACACCTTGCACCTGTGCCCACCATGGGTGTGCATCACCCGTGGGCTAAAATCACTCCTTGCCCGGCAGTGCCCGGCACCAGGTGAGCTCACAGCCTGGTGGATCCAGTGGAGCAAGCTGCTTCCCCAGTAATCCAGCTTATGCTTCATCCCTGTGTGTGCCCCCTTCTCCAGGCCTTGCCCACCAAAGGACTTTTATCCCCAACATGCTGGCTTTGGGAAGGTGCTGGGTGGCAGGAGGCAGGTCCTGCAAAGCTCCGGTTCCTGGAGGGAGACAACAGCAGCTCCCTGCCAGGAGCTCTTCCCCCTCTACATTTTGAGGCATATTTGAAGGTTGTAAAACACACTTGACTGTGAAACAGAGATAAGAGCTGGAGTAGACACAAACAGCGTAGGTGTTACTCCCGGTTTTATGCAACTCCCACTCTGTTGCAAAAAATAGCTCAGGCAGGAGCTCTGTGCCACCCTGCAGGGACCACACGGTGGTGGCACCACGTGCCTGGACATCGTTGGGCTGAGCCAGACCCAGAGCTGGGATGTGAGGCACTTGCAGAGGTGCTGAAAACTTCCTGTTCCTTAAAATCATGACAGAGAGATCATAGAAAACGCTCAGATGACATCACAGAATGGTTTGGGTTGGAAAGGACCTCAAACATCAGGTAGTTCAACCCCCCCTGCTCGGGCAGGGACAATAATTAAAAACCATTTTAAAGGTTATAAAAATACATTAAAAATAAGAACATAATTCCAAAGAGCTGCAAAAACTACACTGCACTGAGCTAGATTGTTTTCCATCAAGAAGGGCAGTGGGAAGCTGCAGCAGGGTATCCCTCAGCTGCTGTTCCCACTGCAGATGTTGCACCCTGTCTTTAGACCACACCTGCTCCATAACTCCTCCGTGCCCTCAATTCTTGTGCAACTCTAAACCCAAGCAAAATACCCACCGGGAGGTTGCAGCAACAGGTGAGAGTGGCTGGTGGTGGCTTCTTCCAGGAGCTGTGTCTCCTGATGGATGGGGACATTGTGCAACTCGGGGAGAGCATCAGGCAGCCGTGGGCTGGCAGTGTGGACAGCCCTGCTGATAAGACCTGAAGGTGTCTCCTCAGCAGAGGAGACACTGGCAGAGGTGGCTTTCTGACTCGGGGACAGGTCCCTGAGCCCCCGCAGCAGGACCAGGTGAGTACCCACCAATGCTTCTCCTAAGGGACCTCAGAGTGGGGCAGCGACCTGGTGGGGATTTGCAGGAGCAAATCATCCCCCAGCACCAAAAACCTGCCTCCAAACAACCCTCCTCTGCTCCATTTCCTGCTTTTCTTTCTCCAAAATGGAGAGGAAGATTCCTGATCAGCCTCTCAGCTGATTGCTAAGGCAGGGACAACATTAAGGACCAGGGGGGTTGGGCTCTTTCCTAGCCCAGGAGGCAGTTTGGGCAGGGATTACTGCTCTCATGGCTCTTAGTGTGAATAATGGCTCTGCTGAAATGTTGAACGGGTTCTGGAGAGGCTGAAGCAGCTTTTCAGACCCTGATCTGTGGGAGCCGTGGGCTCCAGCAGCATCACCACCTCCCCACAGACCCTTGCATTGATTTCCAACTGCCTTTAATCCCATTCGCTTGCTCAGCCTGTGCTGCAGTGGAGTTGGAGAGGACACGGGGCTGGGAACAAAACAGTGGGTGAAGTCAGAAGAGAAAAGGGCAGAGGAACAGGCTGAGGGTGTGGAGATGGAATTGGAAAAGTGGGAACATGGGGGTTTTTTCTGCCTGTTGGGGGCTCATTCCCGAGGGAGCTCAGGACACACCGAGCACCCCCAGAGCCGCGTGGAAGGGACCTCTGGGGATCATCTAGCCCAACCCATTCCCAGCTGGGGCAGCCCAACATTTTGGGGTGGGATGGTGCATCCAGGGCACGAGGGTGGGTGGGGAAGGACGATCTGCTGAGGGGCAAGGCTGGCCAACCCCTGTGCCCTGTGCCTTCCCTCCCTGTGCCCGCAGCCGCCATGGACAATGACAGCATCACCGCCCAGGTCTGCATGGAGGCTGATGTGGGGGATGGAGAGTGAGTTCCCAGCCAGAGGGAAGCTCAGGCCTGCCCTACTGCTGTGTTTGTTGGCTCAGGTTCCCCCGGGGGAAAGGTGCCTGGGCTGGGAAGGGACGAAGCTCAGCTCCCCAGGGCACCATCTCCCTGCTTCCCCCCAGGCTCCGCGAAGTGCTGGTGGCCGGGTACCCGGTGCTGCTGCTGAGGAACAAGATGGAGTTCAGGGCCCTGGGCAGCAGGTGCCCCCACTATGGTGCCCCGCTCAGCAAAGGTACCCCTGGCACTGGGCGGGGGGAGCCCTGTCAAGGGGTCACCTCTCACCCCTGGGCCTGGGGGCTTTTCTCCTGCAGGAGTCTTGAGGAGGGAGAGGCTGCGCTGCCCCTGGCACGGCGCCTGCTTCAGCATCCACACCGGGGACATCGAGGAGTACCCTTCTCTGGACTGTCTCCCCTGCTTCAAGGTGATTCTTAACCCTTCCTCTGCCCAGCTTGGGCCGTGTCCTCCGTACCACTTGCTCACTCCCACAAGCTCTGTGTTCCTAACACGGACTGAAAGGACCTTGCCCTGGCCTTGGCTCCTTGGTCCAGGTCACACTTGGGATGATGTCTTGAGATCTTGTGACTCCCAATCCTAAAGGCCCTTTTGATGAAAGGTGATGCTATACATCCTGGTATCCCTCACAGCCATCACAGCTCTTCTGGAGAGTCCTCTTCCTGATGGCTCTTGGGATAAGGAGAAAAGCTTGTGAGCTCCTCAGTATCACTTGACATCCAAGATCCCTACAAGGCACTCTTGGTGTATGAGCCAGATGGCCCACTGGACCAGAACCTCCCAGGAAAGCTCCCACCACCCCCTTGAGAACACAGCACTTAAACACACTCTCCTTTCATTCCTTCAGGTCACAGTGGAAGATGGAAAAGTATTTGTTACAGCAAAAAAGAAGGTACTGACCTTACCTGGTGTCACTGAGCACAAGCAGCACCTTGGGCTTGGTAATTCAGCATTTCCCATTTTCCTCTAGGATCTTGAAAGCAGCCTGAGGATGAAACCCACAAGCAGGAGATGCCTTCTCAACCAGGACATTGTGCTGCTTCTGGGGGGAGGTCAGTGGGGTGGTCTGTACTGTGCCCTCCCCACACACCCTGTGAGCTGCCACTCTTCTGCAGGGAGGACCTCCCTCCTTCCTCCTGCCCCGCAGGGGTGTGTAAGGGGGCTGAGGTGACCATCTCCTGCAGGTGTGGCTGCTCTCGTGTGTGCAGAGACACTTCGCCAAGAAGGCTTCACTGGCAGGATCATCATGGTCACCAAAGAGAAACATGTGCCATATGACAAGTCCAAACTGAGCAAGGTTTGTGTGTGAGAAGCAGAATGGGCAGCACGGGGAGCTGTGATTTACCAGTGCAGGACTTGCCCCTTCTGCAGTTTCCTCCCAGAAAGGCCTGCAGGAGCAGTGCTGGCTGCAGGGACTGCTCTGCTCCTGTTTCTGTTGCATTTCCAGGCAATGAACTTGAAAGCTGAGGACATCTACCTGAGGAAACCTGAACTCCTCCATGCTCAGGACATAGAGTTCTGGACAGAAAAAGAGGTACAAGACCAGCTGAGCTGAGCTCATCCCATCTCCCTGCCCTTGTCCCAAGTCCCTCCCCAGCTTTCCTGGAGCCCCTTCAGGCACTGGAAGCTGCTCTGAGGTCTCCCTGGAGCCTTCTCTTCTCCAGGCTGAACCCCCCAGCTCCCTCAGGCAAGCACAATGGCTTAATGTGGCAGGACACCAGTGGACCAGAGGTACCTGTCTGATCTTTGCCTCCTGTCTCCTGCAGGCAGTGTCAGTGGATTTTCAGAAGCAGAAGGTTCACTTCATGGACGGGTCCTCACAGAAGTACCATCAGCTGCTCATTGCAGCAGGCAGCCAGTGAGTGCAGGAAGCATTTCTCACACAACAGCTTAGAGAGGACAAGATGGGTCCACACTGAGGCTTGGAGGTCTTCTAGAGACATGTGAGAGGGAGGTGATAGGAGATGACCTGACAGGACAGGATGGGACAAAGAGATGTCATGGCTTGGTGCTCCTCCCTCATTCTTCCTGTTTCACTTCTGATCATGAGGCATATCTGGATTCTCTCTCTTTCAGCCCCAACTTCCTCAAAGTCCCAGGGGCAGACCTGCAGAACGTGTGCTTTCTCTACACCCCAGAAGACTCTAGGAAGATCTTAGAGCTGGCAACTGGGAGGAATCTGGTGATCATAGGAGCTTCATTCATAGGTACTAGGCTGGAGTGGGTATCAAGTCAGCAGTGACAGCCTGGGATCCCACTTCTGCTGCCTGTGCAGATTAACTGGAGACCCTTGGGGAGGGCTTGTTTGTTCACTGCCTGGTTGGTTCCTCCAGGGCCCTGGAGTTGGGGGGTATGAGTTACACAACACACCCTTGCCTGGGGCAGCCATCAATTGAAGAGCTAGAGACACTTGCTGGGTATGGACAAAGGGAAACATGGCTCATGAGAAGGACACTGTCCTTCAGAGGAGCTGGGCTCCCCAGAAGCACTGGGACAGTGAGGGGACAAGGCATGGGCAGAGATTCTCTGCACAACCAGGAGCTGCTCCCTGCATTTACCAGTGTCCAGGTCTCTAGTGCATGGGGATGAAGAGCAAGGGGAGCTAAATACCTCAGCCCAGAGAGGCCTGGAAGAGCAGTTAAGCTCTGCCACTGCATCAGATTTATTCTGCTCACCTGGAAGGGGAGAAGGTCTGCAGGGAGGGGGCAGGTGGGTGCCTGCAGCCCGTGCTTCCCTTGCAGGGATGGAGGCTGCTGCCTCCCTCTGCGGCAGCGCCGGGACCGTCGCCGTGGTGGACAAGGAGGAGTTTCCTTTCCAGAAGGTGCTGGGCCCTCAGGTTGGAGAAGTGGCCATGAAGGTTAGGAAAACCTGGGGCTGCTTTCTGGGATGGACACCTGCTCTCCAAGCAGCCCTGTGACCCACAGCATCCCGGGACATCCAGCCCCTGTGCTGAGCCATGAGCCCAGGTGCTGCCCTGCTCCCTGCAAGAGCTGTGCACTCAGGGCTGCTCCCAGCCTCCCTCACACACATCAGCCTCCAGTTCAGCTTCATCCCAAGCCCTCCCTCTTCCTAGACCTCCCTCATGCACCAGTCCTGCCCAGCACAGCAGAGCAAGGCCAGGTTTCCTGGCTCTATGCACCTGCTGGGGACACCCAGGAGAGCTCTCAGCAGCCTGGAGCAGCAGCTCTGCCTGCCCAGGTTCTGCCTGAGTGTGGCTTTTTTCACAGCAGTGCAGGCTGGAATCTCCTAGTGAATGCTCAAACCAGCTTCCTCTTCCTTTTACAGATGCTGCAAAATAAAAGGGTGAAATTCTACATGAAAACAGAGCTCCGTGAGCTGCAAGGAAAGGATGGGAAGGTCAGTCATGTCATTGTGAGCCCTGAGCTGCTAATATTAGGGGGGAAAAAAACCCCAACAAACTGAGGTATAACCCAGTGCCTACATCTAGGATTTCCTCTCCCACATCTTGCCCCTCACATTCTTTTTACTGAGCACAGTTCTGGGCTCAGAGGGCACCAGTACATGTTCATATCTCAGGGAAAACAGCATGATTTTCTCTTCTGTTCCTGACAACACACATTGGTTGGACAAGGTGATCTGAACCTGGGAAGAAAAAAGACAGCAAAGAATGAGGCAGCAGGGAGGCTGGAGGAATTAGGACAGAGGTTTTAACCCTTTGTTAATGATTCTTGCTGCCTTCCTAGGTTACAGAGGCTGTTCTTGCCTGTGGAGAGAAACTACCTGCAGATGTGGTAGTGGTGGGAATAGGTAAGAGACCCCAGCTGGGAGAGAGGGGCAGCTTTGGGAATGGGGAGAACAGCCAGCAAGCCCAGAGCATCCCTGTGCATTCCCAGGACAGCATTCCTTGCAGTCTCTTCCCCACTCTGTTATCATCCAGCCCTTCCTCTTGGCCCCAAACACCTGGAGAAAGTCAGCAGCCCCTGAGCAAACACTTGGTAGGAGGAAAGGAGCTGCTCAGGCTCTTAGGGTGACTTTGGCAGGTTTGCTGAGCTCCACAGGTCACTGCTGGGCCATCAGAACCTGCCTTGCTCTGGGCCCTGCTTTCGTTGCCCCTGGCTCAGCTCAGCCCCAGCCCCTGCTGGGAGCTGCTGTGCCCCAGGCAGGCAGAGCAGGCACCAGGGGCACGTCCTTGCTGCAGGGCCAAGGCCAAGTTCCCTCCCTGCCCTGGCAGAGATTTGCTGCATTTGTCCTTCTCCTCCCCCTGCAGGGGTGTCCCCCAGCTCAGCGTTCCTGGACGGCACCTCCATGGCCAGGGATGAGCATGGGGCCATCCTGGTGGATCTGGTGAGCACCAGCTGAGGGTCCCTGGTCCCACCCCGACCCCTCCCCTCTCTGCTCTGCACTAATCACTTCTTGTCCCACTAGCACATGCAAACCAACATCCCCAACGTCTTTGCTGCTGGGGACGTGGTCTCCTTTCCTGTAGCTCTGCTCAGTGGGGACAGGTCCAGCATCCACCATCAACAGGTGGCAGAGGCCCATGGTGAGGCAGCACAGCCCCTTCCTTCCCAGCCCCCCTCGGAGCTGGGCATGGAGGGGAGGGGGCAGAAGGGACAACGAGAAGCAAGGAGCACTTCTTAGAGGACCTGCAAGAAGCAGAAGTATGTCCTCTGCTGGTTCCTCACAGGTCACATTGCTGCCTTGAACATGCTGAAGAGAGGGAAGGAGTTGCACACTGTCCCCTTCTTCTGGACCACCATGCTTGGAAAAACCATCCGCTATGCAGGTAGGAGAGGGAAGAGAGATGGGAACAGCCAAACTGCTTCCCAGCCTGTCTGCTCTGCCACCAGCTGGGGCTGGGGCTTCTCAACACACACGGCAGGTGCAGAGTTTACCTGGAGCAGCTGAAGTTTTGGTTCACAAAGCCACCAGGGCAGCCAGTTCCTGGGCTCTGGGCCTGCAGGTGACCCACAGCTTTTGTTCTCTGCTGATCTCCAGGAGGTCACAAGGGAGGAAAAACTTCCCTGTCCAAGCCAAGGACAGGCTCAGGGTCATGATGCAGTGCTGCACCTCTGGGTCAGTTCTGCTGCTCCAAGGCCTCTGTGCCTGCTCCCCAGCCAGACACTGTCCCCTCTGCCCCTGACAGCACCAGGGTGGGGTGGGTGGCAGCTGCTGTGCCAGGGCTCCCTGAGCAGACTGATATTCTCTCTCTCCCAGGCTGTGGGAAGGGATACACAGACACTGTTGTGAAGGGCAGCCTGGAGCAGCAGAAGTTCCTGATCTTCTACATCAAGTGAGTGAATCCATGGCTGGACTGTGCCCTGACACGGGCACCCTGGGATCAGGGCATGGCCCTGTCCCTTGCAGCCTGCAGAACTCCCAGAGGCTCCACATCCACGGCTGCACTCTGCAGGCAGCTGCTGGCTGTTGAACCAGCAGGGAGATGGCTTCAGAGCAAACCAAAGCAGGGCTGGGAAGGAGAAGGGGATGAGCTTCACCAAAGCCACCAGCTGGGCAGGGAGCCTGGGACACGTCTCCCCTCCCTCAGCCCCACTGCACCCAGCAGTGCCTGGGTGAGCTGCTGGAGGTCCCTGTGCAGAACCAGCCACCCTGCCCTGAGCCCTCCAGCCAGGGAGCCACGGGGATGCTGCTGTGCTGTGCTCACTGGGGAGATCCACATCCTCCTGCTTTCCCTTTCAGGGATGGCATCGTGACTGCAGCTGCCAGCCTGGACTGTGACCCCATGGTGTCCCTGATTGCAGAAGTTTTATACTTGGGGAAACAAATCACTAAGGAAGAAGCAGAGTAAGTGACACCCTGACTGAGCTGGTGGGTGGCCCTGTGCTGAGTTCCCCCTGCCAGTAGAGTCCACTGAGGGACATGAAGACAAGTTACTGTAAATCCCCAACGTACCTCTCGTCTGCAGGGCCTGGGACATCTGCACTGCACCCTCTCTGGCTGAAGCCTGAGCTGGGTACCTGCCCTACCTTGAAGGGCACAGAGTCAGCCACGTGTTAGCAGCTCCACATCCTCCCTGTCACCACACAAGAGAAATAAATCCACGAGCAAAGCCCCAGCACCTGCACGTTGTGTTTGCAGACAGTCCCTGGCTGCTGCTCCCTGGCGTGCTGGGACCCAGAGGAGCAGCACTTCCCTCTCTCCTCCGGGCAGGGACCTGCTGGGCTGAATGAGAGGAGAAGGCCCGTGTCCTGGAGCTCAGCTGGGCAGGCAGCAGCAGCCCCTCCTGCCCCCCGGCCGGCTGTTGGCAGCTCACCCAGCACGGGTCACGCCGACCTGCTGCTCTGCAAAGAGCCCGTTTTCCCAGCCAGGGGAGCTGGGAGCGGGGCATGCTGCTCTGCTGCTGGGAACCAGACAGCCCGTCTGCAGGAACTCACACCAAACAGCCCATCCCTGAGGCCAGGGAGCTGCCCTCTGAGCCAGCAGCACCTGCTGGCACCTCTGCAGCCGCCTGGAACATTGCATGAGCTGTCACTGCAAACACCTCCCACCCCAGCAGCCTCCGGCAGAGAAACCCCAGCCCTGCTTGGCCTCCCCTCTCCTGCCCTGTCCCCCCCGTGTTGGCTGCTTCAAGGAGGTGGGCAGATGCTCCAGGGAACACGGCCCCAGTGCTAGAGGGAAGAGTGACTAGGGTTTTTGCAAGGCAAGGGTGAGCAAGGCTGGGCTTTCTACAGGAAACTGCTCTTACTCACTGGTCACATGCGGCGCTGCAGGAGGAAGGGGGAACCCTGAGAGCTGGGCAGGTTCTGAGCACTGGTTTTGGCAGCCTAAAAACCCCTCTGCTTTCCCAGCAGGTGCAGCCCAGCCAGGCCTGAGCCTGCCTGCCCAGCAGGTGAGATGCTGCAGTGCTGGGTTTGTGTTAAACACACACACTCTTGGACCTTCTCATGGCTGAATTTGACCTGAAATGTGGTGGTTTGCATTTCCTGAGCCCAGGGCCTTGGTGCTGCTGCCCCAAAGAGCCACGTCTTACCTGGGAAAGAGCTGGTTTTCAGCAAAGTGAAACAGGGTTGTGAAACAGGTCAGTCCCTCGCAGCACCAGGAGGGAGCAGTGATTCTCAGCGTTACCTGTACAAGGGCAAAGCTGGTGGCCCAAGCACACAGGTCCCCTCCACCTGCAGCACTGACAGCACTGCAGGGCACGGGGGAGCACAGCCCTGGGGCTGCTCCTCCTTCCCCTCCAGCACCCTGCACACACCCCCCCACAACTTTTTACCCCCCTTGCTGCACTCCAGGACTTGCTGAGCCCCACGCAGGTGCCAGCTGTTTTGTCTGGACGCCTAGCAGGGCAGCTGTGGTGGAAGAGACTGGCTCTGCCTCCAGCTGGAGATGTTCATCCACAGTCCTTCTGGCCCAGAGAGGGAGATCTGAGGGGTTTCAGAAGCCCTGCTCCCTTTGGGCAACAATGATCCCGAAGATACTGGGTTTCCTGCAGCCATCACCAAGTGCACAAGCAGAGCAGCTTTATGTAAGAAGGAATGACCCCAGGAGAACAGACCTGCTCTGCTGCTGCCATTTAATGGACACCAGGCCACTTTCTGCACAGCCCTGCACCAAGGCTTGGGAGCAGCCCTGCCAGGGACAGGCAGCTGGGGCTGTGCAGGGCTGTTTCAGCACAAGGCCGTTCCTCCCTGCCCGCCCTGGGAGCTGGAACTAGCTGTGCTCTTCCTGGCAGGCCCTGAGCAGCAGCACCCGGACACTCCTCCACTTCCCAGCCACCAGGGCAGCCTGGGAGGCAGTGGTCCCAGCAGTCCCACGGGACAGACACCTCTCTGGGAGCGAAGAGGCTCCCAGGAGCCCTCGCTGGGTGCACACCAAGGCATTGCACCCTGCACTGAGCTGTAGGAGAGCTCTACAGCTCCCTGCCTGCCCAGGAGGGGCTCCAGCCTCAGAGAGCAGCTCCCAAGCCTCCTTTGTGGCATCTGCTGCTGCTGCCCCCCCAGCGAGGCACAGCCTGGACCACAGGAGAGTCCAGCAAGGTTCACCTGGGCCCCTCTCAGTGCTGCCAGCTCCAAATACCTGGAATCCTGGCGCTGCCCCAGAGCTGCCCAGCCTCCCGGGGTGGCCGTTCCCAGAACAGGCATCTGGGGCCGTGTGTGTGACTCGTCCCTGAGTCACCAGCTCCAGGCAGCCCAGCCCCTCTGCCCAGGCAGCACTGCAGAGCCAGCCTTCTCCTCTGGCTCCATCCCCCTGCCTGGCATGTTGCAGGATTAATCCAGTTCCTGAGCTCAGTCCCATGAGCTACACCCAGCCTCATGTCACCTCTTATGCTCAGGGCAAACCAAAGGGACCTGAACAACCAACCCTCCACCCACAGACCCAGCACTGTGGCCTCCCCCCAGCACCCTGTGGGGTCTGCAGCCCCCACCATCCTCCCACCAGGCATATCCAAGTGCCCCACAGGCAACAAACTTCCTAAAACTGGACTGTTGAGCAAAACAGAAAGTTTAATGCTTCTTTTGGTTGTCTCCAGTCATCTCAGCTTGGTGCCACCCTGCTCGACAGCCCCACTTAGGGCTGCCAGGCCATCCCCAGCCAAGGCTGTGTCTGGAGGCTGCCAGGAGTCTTCTTCATCCCAGCCCTGCTCATCCTCAGCCCTCAAATCCATGGGATGCTGCAGACTGGCTGGTGCTGGTGGTCGGGGCACAGGTCTGGCTGGTATCCAGGGTCCCAGTGACAAGAAGAGAGTGGCTACATTCAACAGTTCTTCAACTGGCAGCTTTAGCTACTAGAGAAGGACATAAAGCTTGCCACTGAAGAACTGGTGCTGGTTAGCCAGGAGCGGGGCAGTGGGGCAGCACCTGGGGAGGGAACAGACACATCAGAGCCAGGACGGGACCGAGCTGAGCCAGCACCCACCCCAGGGCTGCCCTCACCCCACCACCAAGCCCTGATCCACCCCCTCATCCTTCCCCCCCCAACCCGAGCCAAGATCCCACAGGATCCTCTCCTCGTTGCAAGGAACCCAGAGGCAGCTCCCACCAGCCTTCTCCCCATCCCTCCCCTCTTGAGCAGCCGGGGCAACAACGGCCTCAGGGGCAGGGAGGAAACCA